TGAGCCATCAAGCCCAGCTTTTTTTGATTTATTGTAGAGATGAGGTCTCGTCAAGTTGCCCAGGCGGGTCTCGAACCCACGGGCTCAGGCAATCCACTCACCTCAGCCTCCCAAAGCTCTGGGATTACAGGCTGAGCCACCGAGCCCAGCTTACCTTTTTTTTTTGAGTCGGAGTCCCACTCTTGTTGCCCAGGCTAGAGTGCAGTGTCACACTCCCGGCCACCGTGGCCTTGACCTGCCGGGCTTAGGAGATCCTTCTGCCTCAGCCTTCCAAGCAGCTGGAACTACAGATGCACACCACCACGTCTGTCTAGTTTTTGTGATCTATTGTAAAGATGAGGTCTCACCAAGTTGCCCAGGCTGGTCTTGAACCCCCGGGCTCAGGCAATCCTCTTGCCTGGCCTCCCAAAGTGCAGGGATTACAGGCTGAGCCACTGCGCTCAGCCAAATAAGTACATATTTAAGGATCATGGGTGCCCACACTCAGAGAAGGGCCTTGGAGAAGCTACCCCCAGTACCGATGAGCACACGTGCCACTTGAATCTCAGTTGCTAAATACTGTTTGCTACTAGAAGGAATTAAGCTCCGTAGACAAACAACTGACTCCAGAGCTGGGACACAGGAAGCTCAAGATGAACCCAGAACATCTCATGATGCCAGAAAGTAAGAAAGTGCTGAAAAATGATAGAGGCATGTCAAAAGGACAGAAGGCAGCTTGAAGGGATTCCCAGTGGCCAAAATGGGAACAATTTCAGCATCAAAATAAGAAATGATTGTATTATAAGCCACTGAATGAAACAGGAATCCATGAGTTCATATAAATATAAAAAGTATCTCTCCAAAAAATCCCTGTTAATTACAAAGGTGATTACTTTATTTATTTATCCATTCATTCATTCACTTATTCACTTGAAGCAGGGTCTTGCTGTGTCACCAGAGTACAGTGGCACAATCATGACTCATGGTAACCTCTACCTCCTAGGCTCAAGCGATCCTCCTGCTTCAGCCTCCTGAGTTGCTGGGACTACAGGTGCATGCCACTAAGCCTGGCTGATTACAAAAATTTTTTTGGTAGAGAATGGGATCTTGCAATGTTGCCCATGCTGGAATCAAGCTGCTAACCTCAAGTGATCCTCCCACTTTGGCCTCCCAAAGTACTGGGATTATGGGCCCTAAATTCGATAATAAGTGTGCTTCTAAGAGGCACACAGAAGAGAAGATATGGGGAGAAGGTGTTGTGAAAACGGAGGCACAGATTAAAGTGTCACAGCTACAAGCCAAGGAACACCAAGAGATGCCCAACAGCCACCAGAAGCCAGAGGAGAACAGATTCCCTCCTAGAACTCTGGGAAGGAGTGTGGCGTCACTGACACCTTGATTTCAACTTCTGGCATCTAGAACTGTGAGAGAATAACTTTCTACTGTTTTAAGCCACTCGTTTGTGGTAATTTGTAACAGTAGCCACAGGAAATGAATACAATGGCAGACACCACCTTAAGCAAGTGATCAAAGTGAACATCCTCAGTAATGGAAGAAATCAAAATCATGTATGCTGGGCTTGTGCATGTACCTGTAGTCCCAGCTGCTCAGGAGGCTGAGGCTGGAGGATCATTTGAGCCCAGGAGTTCAAGACAAGCCTGGAGTTCAAGGCCAGTCTGGGCAACATAGCGAGACCTTGCTCCTGTCTGCAAAAAAAAAAAGTCATGTATCATTTAATTTAGAATGCAAAGAGAGGAATATGACATCGCCTCTGTGACATTCCTGCCAAGTATGCATAACTTAAATCTAATGATAAGGAAACTTGAGATAAACCCAGATTGAAGATGTTCTATAAAATAACTGACCTGTAACCTCCAAAGTGTTAAGGTCAAGAAAGTCAAGGAAAGACTGAACTATTCTAGATTGAAGGAAACTAAAGAGACATTCAACGAGTAATTTTGGACAGGATCCTTTTGCTATACAGGACATTATTGGGATAACTGCTAAAATTTGAATAGGACCTGAAGATTAGATGGTATTAATATATTAATATTGGCTGAGCTTGGTGGCTCAGCCTGTAATCCCAGCACTTTGGGAGGTCGAGGCGAGTGGATTGCCTGAGCCCGTGGGTTTGAGACCCACCCAGGCAACTTGATGAGACCGATCTCTACAATAAATCAAAAAATTAGCCAGGTGTGGTAGCGTGCATCTGTAGTTCCAGCTACTTGGAAGGCTGAGGTGAAAGGATCCCTGGAGTCCAGAAGGTTGAGGCTGCAGTGGCCAGGAGCGCACCACTGCACTCCAGTCTGGGCAACAGAGTAAGACTCCAACTCACTAAAAAAAAAAAAATAAAATATATATATATATATATATATATGTATTCCTAATTGTGATGGCTGTAGTGTAGTTATGTAGAGACTGATCTTGTTGTAGGAAATACACAATAAACTCTTTGAGGTGATGGAATATCCTGTTGGCTATTTATCCTCAAGTGGTGCAGAGAAAAAAAGTTCTATGTAATGTACTTCCTACTTTTCTGAAAATATGTGATTGCTTCAAAATAAAATATTTATTAAAAATAAAAAGGAGAAAAGGATACAAATCATATAATGGCTATAAATGTATATATGTATTGTCACAGACTGGAAGGAATATGGTCTGGAAGGAAATCCACAACAATGGTACAATTAATGTGAAGGAAGTGGAATTGTGTGTAACATTTCTCTGCTTTCATTTTTTTTTTTTTCAAGACAGGGTCTCGTTCTGTCACTGAGGATGGAAGGCAATGGCACGATCACTACCATGCTTGGCTAATTTTTTTAGAGACTGGGTCTTGCTATGTTATCCAGGCTGGTCTCCAACTCCTGGCCTCAAGGGATCCTCCTGCCTCAGTCTCTCGAGTAGATGAGATTACAGGTGCAAGCCATTGTGCCTGGCCTTAAATCTTTTGGGTTTAGTTCAATAAAAATGTGCTGAGGACCTGCTGTATGGCAGGCGTCGTGCCAGGTCCTAGGGATACTGAAAAGTAACAGCACTGGCCTGCTGTCTGCAGGAGAGATACTCCTGGGATAAAGACAAGTGCTGAACAGATGCTGAGCACAGGGAACACCTAACCTTAACGTGGAGGGGTGAGGGCTGAGAGGCGGGGGGAAATGATGCTTGGAATGTGCCCTCTCAGTTTTTCTGCTAAGAATAACAATACTGGCCAGTTAAAGTGGCTCAGGCCTGTAATCCCAACACTTTGGGAGGCCTGAGGCTGAGTTTGAAACCACCTGGGCAACATGGCAAGACTCTCTCTCTCTTTTTTTTTGAGTTGGAGTCTCTGTCGCCCACGCTGGAGTGCAGTGGCACACTCAGAGCCACCCAGAGTCAACCTGCTGGACTCCAGTAATTCTTCTGCCTCAACCTTTCAAGTAGCAGGAACTACAGGTGCATGCTACCATGCCTGGCTACTTTTTTGCTTTTATTGTAGAGACGAGGTCTTGCTGAGTTGCCCGGGCTGGTCTTGATCCTGCGGGCTCAGACAATCTACTCACCTTGGCCTCCCAAAGTACTGGGATTACAGGCTGAGCCACTGAGTCTGGCCTCTTTCTTTCTTTTTTTGAGTTGGAGTCTCACTCTATCACCCAGACTGGAGTGCAGTGGC